TAATGAAAAAAACTCCAATCCGAAAAATTGATTTGAATAATTATGTATAATTTTGAACTACACACATCAAAAGTGTCTAGGGATCAAGCATTTTTATGCGGATTTCTTGAGATTGAGATGTGGCTTTGTAATAAATTTATGATTTTATAAATTTATATGGATCCTTTTTGGTGCATTTCATAATTTGAATCAGGAACTGTGAATCAAATTCGAGTAAAAGATGAAAATCAGCTGTCAATATTTTCCCTATAAAAACATACAACGCATTGAAGACATTATTAGTGCTACTGTTTCCCTACTACTGATTAAAACCAACGTTATTATGGAGCGGCGACGTCATTTAAGCAGGGAACAAATGCTCAGAGCCGTGGGAATGATAGAAGCTGGTTCCCGGCAACGTACTGTGGCTTTAGCTCTGAATACAAGTCAGAGTGTTATCAGTCGACTTTGGACACGATACCGAAGCACTGGTACCGTGGCTGAGCGCCATGGAGGACGGTATCGCTGCACCACACGGAGACAAGACCGATACATTCAAATCTTAACTCGAAGAGCTCCAACAATAACCGCCATAATGTTAGCCGTGAGGCTTCATCACTCTTCAGGGAACTTAATTAGCGACCAAACAGTCAGAAACCGCTTGCATGAAGTGAACCTTCATTCCCGAAGACCGCTACGGGTACCACCTATAGCAATGCACAATCGTAGGATTCGATATCAATGGGCTCTTGAACACAGAAATTGGGCAGAAGAACAATGGCGTTTCGTGTGCTTTTCTGATGAGTCTCGTTTTGGTATGAGACCGGATACAAGACGTATACGACACTGGAGAACCCCTGGACGCCAACAGCGATTAAAATCCTGCCAGGAAGTCCATCCTTATAGTGGTGGAACCATCATGGTATGGGCGGGTATTTGGATCGGCGGAAGAACTGAGTTGATTTGGATCAGAGGCAACCTCAACGCTCAAATTTATGCTGAGACGATTGTATCAGACGTCATCGTTCCTCTACAAGTGCAAATCGGTCCCTTATTTCAGTTAATGCATGATAATGCACGACCGCACACCGCAAGAGTTGTAAGACAGACTCTCGCCGCAGCTAACATCAATGTCCTGCCCTGGCCTGCTCAGTCGCCAGACTTGAACCCGATTGAGCATGCATGGGATATGCTACAGAGAAGAGCTCTGCCGAATATGGAGGGTATCCAGTCGCAAGAAGACCTTTTTTTGTTGTTGCAACGAACATGGGCGGCCATTCCACAGCGTGATTTGGATGAACTCATTTTGAGTATGCCAAACCGATGTTCTTGTGTTGTTAGTGTTCGCGGTAGAAATACGGATTATTAATTGTTTAAGTTACCAAATAAAATTTTAGAGAAAACTGTTATTTCAGTCTTTTTTTCGAACTTTTGTGTTAGTGGTTCAAATGTCAAAAATCCCTTTATTAGGAAAATGGCAAATTTCTTTATTAATGCAAAGGTGACTTGGTTTATCGTTACTGTGACAAACGAAAACACTTTATTTGATGAATCCTTAAAGAAAATTTTAATTAATATCAATCAGGAGAAAAGTTATTGCAAAAATATATGTTGATCCCTAGACACTTTTGATGTGTGTATTTATTAAAATTTACACTTTAATTACTCGAAAAACGTAAGATTTCATGTTATATTGATAAACATAAAAATTACAAATCCATAAAACATGCAAAAAATAGTTGTTGTAAGTAGGTATTAAAAATAGGATTTTCGGAGTCGAGTTTTTTTCATTATTAATTTGCATTTTCTGAGAACATTTATCATAGTAGTGTATATTTTTTTTATACCATCAGAAAGTAGAGATTTAAACAAACAAAAAACACCCCAACTTTTTTAAAAAAGCAGATATTTTGACGTGAGAATTTTCGATTGAAAATTAGGGTGCTTTTTGGATATTAAGTCAAAATAAGTTGAAAAAATGAATATTTTAAATCAAAAAAATTACTGTATGTTTGGGACATACAAAGGTAAGTTTTCGCCAAATTTCGTGAAAAAATATTTTTTTTTGCAAAAAATAAAAATCAAAAACCAAAAACTCGGTTATTCGCATTTTTCACATAAATTTTGAGGTTATTTGAAAAAAGTGTCGATACAAAAGTTGTAGATCTTTTTATTTCCTACAACTTTGCCATTTAACTTTTTCTGACTTGCAGTTTTACCGGAAATCGAGATTAACCATTTTTTACCCTTAAAAACTCACCCCCTCCCCCTTCCCGACCTCAGATCGCCCGTAATTTATTTTTCCTTTCATTTTTGTTATATTCTACCTTTTCTAATGGGTTTCATCCTACTATAATTTTTTTTCACTTTTCACCATTTTTAAAATTATCGACCCTGGTCTAATACCCTGTCTGCGCGTCGCGCTTCGCGCTCTTGTATTGCGCAGTCGGGTAAAAAGGAATTTTGTGACAGTAACTAAATTTCCCCTTTCAGGGAAGGCAAGAGGAACAATGCCCAGACAGCCTGAATCATGTGTATAATCTATGACAGTTCTGTAGTTTTGGAGCAAGGCTCCGTTCCCAACCGCAACAAAGTGCAACTTTTTACCCTGAGGTTTCAATATTGACATAAAATGTATGAAGTTTATGTCAAACTTTCTTGACATTTGTTACACCTGGAGCGTGAGATTAGAACGCAGCCCAGTTTGCATTCTCGTTTTTGAATGTTGTTTGTTTATTTGTGACTAAGTATTTTTCGTATATTTTATGTTGTTATAGCGATAACTCAGCAGTCATAATAGATTTACTATTTACAAATAAATACAAAAACATTTATTTGACGCAACTACTTTTGTTGTTTTTACAGTTTCGAACCTAGAAAATAATATTTCATGATTGCTGGTTGTTAGGCCAACAATGTATGAACGCAGAACAATGTCCTTTTACTATCGATGAAACAACACGGCCTTAGAAATCAAAACTGAAAATCTATTACAAAAATTGATAGCGTTGAGAACTTATCTTCAAATGCATAGTTAGATCGGAGAAAAAAATCTTTATCGCATATTTTAAATCTAATTAAAAATAACGAAGTCCCTTAAAATTACCTGCTCCAATAAACGTGATAGTAATCAACCTCGAAAATAATCATATAATTGCGGTAGGTATATACAATTTTGTTTTTCTTTCTCTTTGAATGATTAAAAATAAACAACACTTAGTATAATCTGGAAATTATCGAAGATTGTTTATCGTGTAGTATTTATAATGTCGTTTAATATTAATTATTATCTGTACTGCTGTTCACATGCCTATGTACTTATGTATGTTTTTATTGAAACTTCCAATATTTTATAAAACCACTAAGCAACTTATTTCAAAGTGTTTTTATAATTTTTCTTAAACCTCATACGCATTCTTATATTGAAGCACTGAACAACAGTTATCGAGAGTGATTGTCCATTCTACACTACTAAAATATATTAAGACAAATAGAGGCCGCCTGTTCTTAAGAAGGAAAAAATGAGGAGGTGACTAAACACCTCGAGCCTCTTCAATTACGCCGTGACGTGGCGTCACTAAGCGCGTTCTATCGCCTGTACCACGGCGAGTGTTCTGAGGAGTTATTCTCTCTTATTCCACCTTCCCCTTTCCTTCAGAGGACCACGCGCGCTGGCCTACGTTGTCACCGTCTAACTTTGGCTACAATTCCAACGCGTACAAAGAAATTTGGTGACTCCTTTCTTTGTCGCACTATCCGTAAATGGAATGCTCTGCCCGCTACCCGCTACAATCTGGGATCCTTTAAAAGAGGCGTGCAAAAGCAACATGCAGGCAGGCAGGGTGAGGATGGCTGGTGTGGCTAGTAGAACTACTGTATCAGCTACCTTCGCGTCTGGACTTCACCGTCACTTAACATCAGGTGGGGTGGAGTAATTTGTTGGAACTATCTATAAAAAAACATACCCGTCTGTTTTTGGGGAGTCCCACTTAAATATCTATTTCTTTTATTCTGTTTTTAATATTTGTTGTTATAGCGGCAACAAATACAGCATCTGTGAAAATTTCAACTGACTAGCTATCACGGTTCATGAGATGTCCTGCTGACAGACAGACGGACAGTGGAGTCTCAGTAATAAGGTCTTGTTCTTACAATTATATCTTTAACCCACATCTTCAGCCTTTGGGCGAAGAACCCCAAAACGATATCACATTGATATACAATTAAACACTAGGTTGGAGCGAATTTTTAGTCTTACCGCAGCCTTATAAAAATTCAAAAGTACTCAATATTTTAACCTATTAATATAATTTTAAAAAATCGACAGGTAAAAAAACACGATTTTATTCTCTTTATTTTTAAAAATATCTATAGTTATATTGAACAAAAACTACTTTTATCTTAGGTCATTTTTTTACTTCAAATATACCTAAGTATAAGTAACTTTAACAAAAGCTGGATATCGTATTATTTACCATTGCCATTCATGTCATTTTAAGTAAAGCGAAAGATAATGGTTTTGATTGACTTATAATTTACCTGAGCTTTTGTGAATCATCCTTCAGTGTCGCAATAATATAATGAAAAACGAACGAACAAAAAATATCTTTTTGCAACATCACCAATTCGTTGAAATTAAAATGTACGAACATGTATCACGTTTTTTCAATGGCTCCTCAGAACAAAAAACAGGACAGTTTCAAAGGCATTTCGAGTGTTGATGCGCCCATCCGGGGCCTGCACGTGTGTCCCGGTGTAGGCAATCCTACGACACGCGACCATGTCGGAAACGTGGGAGTCGACGGAAGCCCGCACTACTATTAACTATACTAGTAAATCTGAAGTACAAAGCGACAGTCACAAGGGGCAAAAACACTATTACTGTATTACATTTGATTGAAAAAGTTGCCGTTACAACAAAAGCAGTAGTGTACTAATAGGCATACGTTGCAACCGCTGTTGGGCGCCCGCGCACCAATAAATTGCAGTGCCGCAAAGAACTCCGAATCTGCCAGTGTCAGTGGTGAGAGGGCCACGGTACAAGATGGGTGTGTCGTGGTACGCAGTGGTTCTACTCGCCGCTTCAGTCCTCGGGGCTTCTATCACACGTGAGTAATTAGCTATTTACGTATTAAAATCAAACCAAGCAATTAACTAAACTAAAAAAATATTATTTTGTTACTGTCTTTCATTTTTAGTTAACGATCTCAGATTCTTTGTATTTTTTTACTTCTTAGCAAATAATACTTACAGTCGCAATTACTATTATTTATATTGAAGATGTAGAGTTCAAAGAGCAAGTAAATCCCATTTTTTTCCAACATTGTAATGAGTAGACTCAATATTGCTGATAATTTTAACGAGACGCTCTTGAATGAATAAAACTTGACTCGTGTTTATTTTAAGTTTAAATGTTTATTAAAATTGCATTACCTATGATGATGTCACTGGTCGAAATATGCCTATTAAAATTCAAATCAAAACATAGCGTTTCTAATCGCCAATAGGAGATAATAAAAAAAATATTTACATAACGTATAATAAAAAAGTTCACCATTTCATTTTTATTTAAATATTTAGACTAATTCAATTAAGATAATTATTAAACCCATCCTTTGTAATAATATCGCGATTTACGCTTATCTATAAAAATAAATATTATTAATGGAATCATCAATTTATTGACTTAACATTGAATTAAACTTTAAACAAAAACAGTAGTCGTCTTTTGCTTTCAAAATTAAAGTGGATTCACGCGGCATTGTAATGTACGTTTTTAGGGGTTTCGTACTCAAAATTTGAAAAACAAAACCATATCAATATGCTATACATCTGTCCGTCGCATGGCTCTTGGATGGAATATCAATATAAATAAAAAGGTCCACACCTGAAATTTTCAGAGCATACGTGTTACAGTGGCTGTTAGTACAAGCAATGGGGAGGTCTTCACACATTCTTACAACTGTTAGTGTTCGATATCACTTCATCAGTGAAGAATTAAAGAAGAAGAATCGGGGATAATTTGTTGCAACTCGAAAAAAAAACCACATGGTGTCTCGTAAATATAATTAACTGTATAGTAAGTTTTATTAACTTTACGATGGCACAGAAACCTCCCCATATGATACCAACTCATACTTGGCCGGTTTTTCTTTGTATCAGCACCCAGTGTTTATAAATTAAACCCGGATAAATACGTGTCAAAAAAACTTGCAGTACAATGCCGTGTAATCCGAGACATAATCCTAGAATATAACCTTACAAAATTTGTGAGTATGTCTTATCTGATCACTCATGGTATTTAGGCAAACATAGGTGTCGATTCTGGCACGATTCTCTAAATCTAAACTTAAATTTGACAACAGTGGTGTCGATTCTGGCAGGATTCTCTAAACTTAAAACTAAATTTAACATCAGTCTGTCCTTTTCATTCTGTATAGAGAAGGGCAAGGATGCACTGTTGTCAAATTTAAGTTTAGCTTTAGAGAACCATGCCAGAATCGACACCAGTGTATCCTTGTCATTCTCTATACAGAAAGAAAAGGAGAGACTGATGTTAAATTTAGTTTTAAGTTTAGAGAATCACGCCAGAATCGATACCATAGTATGCCTAGGCAAATTTAAGTTAGGTGAAAGTCAAACACTTGGAAATCAGTGATCTAATGATAAGTACTAGTGAATGAAACGCAGAAGAGAGTGATGTGAAGCGATAATATCGATTATGTGAGCTTCGATAAATTGAAACTTTGCCTCGCCATTTCAGATACTTTTACTAATAATGTTTTAATTTTTTAGTACATATAATATAAGTATACTTTTATATATTTAGAAAGTACATAATATTATATTAGTACCTACTATATCCTCATCAAGGTCAAATGAAGAAGTGACGGTTATTTTTTAAAAATGTAAAAGCGATATCAATCGCAAAGTTTAATAGAAGAAAATATGACAGGAGAGGGTTATTTAGATACAAAACTGAAAAAAATCCCAAGCTATCACTTTTTTACACTTTCTGTTCGTTTATTTCCTTTGCATAACAACAAATAAAAAATAAAGAATAGGAGCAAAAGCCATAAAGAAAACGAGATTTTGAACAATTATTGGTATTCCAAATATTGATAACCTTGTAAGATACTACGAAACCCTTCCGTTGTCAGCCCGGCTCTCAGTCAGATGGATTTTATTCATAAACTATAACGCTTATTCTAATCATTAAAATTTTGTTGACATTAACAGCTTTATGGATTTGGAATACTTAATTACATTATATATATCTTTTTTATTAAAATATTAGTTGTCTTCAGATATAACTATTTAATTTAGGTAAGATTGCATATTTTAATCCTGGCAGAATAGACTTTTACCTAAATTACACAACTATACATAACTAGGTATAATTGCTTATTTTATAAGTAGTAAAAGATATTATTAAGACCCAAGCAATTTTGTGTATCCGTTAAATAAACCACTTTAAAAGCAAAGAAAATTTAACTAGAAAAAAACGGGTTTTTCTATCTGGAAAAATTTTATTGCTCCGAAATTTATTTGTCATAACACACTTGGTATAATCTTCTTTAAGCCAATATTTGTAAAGCATATTTTTAAAAATAAATACTGTTAGGCCGACTGTATATATATTATGTCCAACAATGGCGTACCTGATTGCAGAATTTCGTTAAAAACGATGTATATTTAAACTTAGCCAGCCACCATAAATAATAGATAAATAAACAAGGAAAAGTTAAATAGTTGTATACCAAAAGACGATTCTGACTACGCATCTTCTGCGATATGATGATTCGGCTTTTTAATTATTGTGGATATTTAATTTATGCCTATTAATGATTCTGCCTTACAAAAGAACGAGTTTTGCATGTCTGATCAATAAATGAGTGAATACTAAATGATTTTCTGCAAAATGAAGTTGATGCCGTCCGCTGATATGCATAATAATATTAGGTATATCATTAAAATTGGTGATTAAAACTGCAGGCCATTTTATAAACAGTTATGTGGGAATTTGTGTAATACCGGAATCATGTTGATTCGTTTTAGTAAAAATAAATAAAAGTGCTAGCATAAGGTAAATTGAGACAAAAATCGAACAGTCATCGCGCGATCGCACATCTCTACGCGGAAGAATCGACGCGTTGCTTTTTACTCAGTAGTTGTGTAAGCGGGTTGCATGTTTTGTATTGCCAACTATTATTTACAAACACGTGGTCACAACTAAGTGTGATTCACGTACAAAATGTAGGTCAAAAGACGGATGCTTTAATTTCGATGCCATAGTTTGGTACTTAGTTTTTATTATGGAAAATAAAAGTGTCATCTACATACAGTAAAACCCGTTTAAGACGATTTCACAGGGACTCAACCAAAAATGCGTCTTAAGCGGGAAGCGTATTATGCGGGATTGCGAGATAGGGAAATTTCAAATTTGTAAGCACAATATTTAAGAATTATGTATATTATAAAAAAATCTGTATTATTATTTTATTTCAATTAATCACTTATTTTAGTCCGTCAAAAAGATTTTGAGGCATTAGCAATTACAAGATTTTCAACATAATATAACTTTTGCAGTGCGTCTTCGCTTTAATTCAAAGAAGACAAAATCGGTGTTGACTAATCTTCTATTTGATCATTATCACTTAGGGTCTCTTCTTCTGTGTTATTCACATTCTCATTGAATTTTATGCTGCTGCAAGAGGAAATATGTGTGGTACGTGTTGGCGATTTAGGCGTATTAAACGAAGTGACGAATCATACTAAGCGTTAAGAAATGTATGAAAACATGTCTCAAGTTGCAGGGACTGACACAAAATGGCGTATTAAGCGAGAAATCGTATTAAACGTGATCGTATTAAAGGGGTTCTACTGTAATTAAATATATACAGAAAAAACTGGCTGACTGACATATAAACGCACAGCCCAAACCGCTAGGTCTGGAGACTCCAAATTTTGCACGTAGGTTCCTTATCAAGTCTGGGGGTGCACTTAGAAAGGATTTTTCAAAGTTCACCCCCAACGGGGTTAAAATAGAGGTTGAAAGTTTGAATGAAAATTCTTATTCTTTGAGTTAACAGATTTGAAACTTGGCACGAATACTTATATCAATAATAAAAGTTTTTAGTTTTCCTACACCCCCTAAAATGGGGATTGGGAGGGCGTCGATGTTTTATATGGATTGATTTCAACGCGCATCCATTACCTCAAAAATTTATCCAACTTTGCGCTCATCTCGGAAAAATCAATAGAGCGGTCATTAATGACATATTACTGAACTCCTTTGAAGGACAACAGATCGTTTATAACTCAATAGATACTGTGGTAAACACTGATGATGCCTTATTCTGTACAGTAATTCTTAAACACTTTAACCCACCGGGTCTGCTATATCTCAGATTTTTACTGCGTGTAGGTTTTTATAATGCCAAGAAATCGATAGAGTTTCTTTTACATTTACGATTAAAAGAGTGATCTCTAAATTCAAACTACTGTTCCAATTTTATCTATAACATGATCTATTGCATTGAAAATAAAGGTAAAAATTTCAAGTATCTTTGATCCATATTAACAAAGTTTCCTTGTTATTAGAAGGTGCTAAGTGCAATTACGCATTCTCTACAAAACTTTTCGGTTTTGACATTTTTAAGCGAATTAAATCGAAAATGGGAAAGGAATCAGTTGGTTTCATCGTACAAGAAAACGAATATAAGTATCAGTTTTTTATCGGTATTACGTTTTATCAGTATTATTTGTTTAGTATTGTAAAGCATAGTTATATATCTATGAAAAGTATTTGATTTTTATTATCTTTATAAATCCAATTCATTAAGAAATTATCTGCATTGTGGTACAATCAGTCAAAGACCAAAATGAGGTGCGCCTCTAGCCTCAAGCCAGTGTGAAAGATAATAAACATACTAATTTTACTTAGTTTCTTCATTTTCCATTGTACACTGATCAAAAGAGTCTAAGCAACATGCATAATTTACGCAAAGTACAAGTTTGGTCGGTAGATATTTTATATTATCGTTATGACATGTATAATTTATTCAAAGGTATTTTTTGCTTTCGTCACAAATAAATCAAATTAGTTATGTTTAACAAAAGAACATAAATATTAACGCTTATGCGTAAATGAAATGCGTATTCGGACAGTTTTTTCGTTTTGGTTACCCGACGACGCCTTCTTCCAGCTCGTGTTCAAGTAAAAACAATGCAAATATTGCATCGGGTACCCTAATTCGAGTAATGTCTTTCTTGCAGCCGAATACGGGCTAACGACTAACCAAGTTTAAATATGCCTTAAGCAAACGTATTTTTAAAGATTTTATTTAACTTGCAATGTATGTAATTTGTCTGGGTAGAATCTTGCAACTCAATTTGAAGCAGATATGTTCATTCTATAGAGCTGAATATTTCTGATAGTTAAATGTGGAGTCTATATTACTAATGTTTATACAAATTTTATATTTTTCTTATTTCAAAGTGTTAATGTAACTTTTTTGTATTAAATGTTTTTTTAATACAAACTGTATTTACAGTAATTTATTACTTTCTATTTTACTTTAATAATTCAAAATCATCAATCAAATCGTCTTAATTGTCACCTAAATAATATGCAGCAAAAGTTATCAGGTAAATCATTTACGAAACAACTGAAATATGAAAAAAAAATAGTTACCTATTCCCTCCCTTCTTCTTGTGTTTTTTCGATAAGACAACCTCGTTCCTCAGCAGTGCGGACATTTAAAAGCTATACTATTGATAATCCTGTCTCATTGTATTTCAGTTTCAATGATACCGTACCAGGTGCTGCCTTCGGATTCTACGTTAAAGTCGAGCCGTATAATACGGACGCTCAATCGTGTATGTACGTAACGTGATCGCGTAACGCCGACACGTCTGGTCTATGGGTGCACTTAAACACTTTGTAAATAGATTTTGTTTGCAATTTAACCATCCCTTTACAGGAATGAACAAAGTAACCAGTCTAACTTAGGTTAAGCACCAAAATAAATCTTTAATATTCCGATAGAAATAAGTATAATTGGTATGGAATGCGGTAACACTCTTTTTGACAATGAATCTACGGTTTTAGAAATCATGGTCCATGGTTTTGACAAAGATTTTCAATGAAATTTTTGGATACTACGACAAATTTTCTATCGATATTATTTCTTCTGATTCCTAAATATTACAAGCTTTAATTTTAATAAAGAGGGGCAAGCAAGAAAGAACCCATTGTCCATAGTACTAAATACTAATACTTAGTAAACAGTTCTTGAATAAACAGTCAAAGCATGTAAGGTGTTGGGTTAGTAATACTGTAATATACCTCATAGGTATACCTCTAGTATACATATATGAATATTGGAATTTGGTAGAAGTTTAAAGTTTATTGATTTATGTAAATTAAACTATCTATTTTACGCTTTTGAATAAACGCAATTTTAGAAACAGAATTTTAAGCAATTTAATTGTTACTTCATGATTTTCTATGCACATTTTCTATGTAAAGGTCGTTGTTACTTCTTTTGAGCATACACATCCAATGAAAACTAATATTTATTATGATATTGAATCACTAAGGCCCACTTGCACCAAAGTTCTTTATTCGAATCATGATTTAATTGTGTTTAACACATCATTCTATCTTTGTGAACTGCTTATAATAAAACAGAGAGAGAATAAGGCTTAAACATGATTAACTTTTAAATTTGATTTCATAACTTTGGAACAAGTGGGCCTAAGGTTCTGGTACAATCGACAGCCGAAAACCGGTCCCTGGAAGCACCAGCGGAGGAGAGACAACCAGTGGAAGGTTCTATTTGTGGGAGGGTGTGGTTGACTGTACATTCTCCTGCCATATCTGTCACCGGTGGGAACGACATCCTTGACGCCTTGGAACTTAACTGGGACTTCAACGGCTGCTCAAACATTCCTAGTCAAGTGAGTTTTTCAAGTAATATCTATTCTAAATATTCCCTTGTATATAGGATCATACAGTCTGTGTAAAACAATCTGAACTGTAACAAATGGCGAATTTAATATACAATACAGTGTGGCATTAATCTCGCTGGCATGCAAATGTTGGTCTCTTAGGTTGGTTTCGTGTAATCTTTCATGGTTTATCCCAAAGTAGCTGCGATAGAGTGGACACGACGTGAAAAAATGACCTATACAGCGCAGTAACCATTTAATTTCCACCATTTATATTCTACTTATGAGAAGACTGTTAAATAAATAGAGCACACCCCAGCGCAGCATAGCTTGATGATAATTGGCTTATGTAACCCCAATGTCGCGATTACACTTGATCGCTAGCTTGTATACGAGTGCCAATGGAATTCGGGTAAACGACTAAACGTAAATGAACGGAGTCGAGTACGCCCGTATTCAAGTAATTTTCGTTTTAGTTACCCGACACCGTCTTCCGGCCTGTATTCCAATGTAAATAATGCTTCTGGTGCCCGAATTCGAGTAATGTCTTTCGTGCACCCGAATACAGGCTAACGAGAAAATGTAAATAAGTCATATATTTATTCACTCACACTGCCTTTTTAAATTTGAAATTGTGAATTAGTAACGTCGACAAAAATGTAGCATCTCGAGCTTCACCGTGCTTCGGAAGGCACGTTAGCCGTTGGTCCGGCCGCATCTACATTCGTTAGAACTCACCATTCCGCACAGAGCCCACGTGGTGGGTCAAAGCCCAATCGCCAATATAATAGATAAGGCCTGGACGCGGGACAATTAATTGGTTGATGATGATGATGACGCAAAATATAAATTTACAGATAACTAGAAATGTTCATAATTAGAGTAAGAGATCACTAGAACGTCAATTTTTTGCTAAAACATTTCCATCTATTTATGTCTTCAATTTATTTTTGTTATAATGCATGTCACTGCGTTTCGTGACCATCACTTCATCCCTGCACAAATATTTATTATAAGCTCAATTATACTAATTAAGAAGCAACATGCAGGCCAGCAGGGTGAGGACGGCTGGTGTGGCAGGTAGAACTGCTGTATCAGCTATCTTCACGTCTGGACTTCACCTTCACTTAACATAAGGGGGGGTGGAGTCATTTGTTGGATCTATCTATAAAAAAAACTTAGCTGATTATTAACCTTTAAGTATTTAAAAGATTTCGTGTTACCATTTTCGTTAAACAAATCCATTTTATCATTATTAGGGTTCCGTACCTCAAAAGAAAAAAACGGAACCCTTATAGGATCACTTTGTTGTCCGTCCTTCCGTCCGTCTGTTAAGACCGTTTTTCTCAGGAACCCATGGAGGTATCAACTGAACTGAAATTTCATATCTAATACTCATGTCTACTGTCCCTTGAAGCTGTGAAAAAATCAAACTTCTAAGCCAAAGCAATCAAAAGATACAGCCGTTTATGCCGAAAATTTCCGCAAATTTTCGAAACTCGCACGGGAATCAAAACCTACAGGGTACTTCCCGTGAACTTAGAATCTTGAAATTTGGTACGAAGTAACGTCTTATAGTACAGATAAAGGGAAAATTGCGAAAACCGAAAATTTTTAGTTACATCATACAAAAAAAATATTTTTGAAAATTTTTGCACTTGGCCGGTTTTTTATCGTAGCTATTGGTTTACTCCTATTATATTTTATTTACGTAATTACTTAATCCGATGATGTTCATAATAATTAGAAATCTGTTAGGTTGCACACGATATGATAAAAAAATATTTGATAAGCTAAGAATGTTATAACAGTAGATAAATTAAACTTAATGACTTTATTATAATATGGTAAAAATCATTCAGTTCATTCCAAGTTCAGTTCATGTAGGTACATGGACTGAAATTTAAGTAACTATCACTAAATAACCTATTGTGTCGTCATATCGTCTACATAACAAAATGTCAACATTATGAAAATTCTATTGAAAACGAAATAGGTACAGGCTTAGTTGATTGTACCTACTTGAAAAAAATCTCATATGAATCCTTTCTTCTTCAGTTAAGATACATTGAATAATTATTGTCACTGATCGCGTCTTAGAATGATAAATACACTGAATTCCTTTATATAAATATCGATACAAGTAGTACTACAAGTATCAATCAGGTATATACTCGTTGTTTTGTTATGAAATAGAATTGTAAATTGTGTTTTACTAAGCACATTGCACTGAACACCCGAATCAATATTTAATTTTGATCATTTTATTATTAATCATAAGTGTAGCACAATACCAAAATAATGACTAAAAATTATTGTTATGTAATGATAAGAAAGCAACTGTCTTTATCATTAATAGTCTTTATCACTGTTAGAATCATTTTGCAACTCTTCTAACAACTGAATCATTCTATTTCTACATTTTTTGCAAAATGATTCTTCTTTTTGCACAATACACAAATTTTGCCAATTGCTGGACATTTACCATACGAGTGCTGGTAACCACAATAAGTACACGCAGTTCTCGTTCCAAAATTTAAGATCACTGTTTTTATTTTAACGCTTTTCACAAAATCCCATTGTTAAAAGTCATAGAGTAAAGATAATAACAATTAACCATAGATACATACTAAAAGTACAGATAATATCTACAACACTCGTAATTTCAATATCATCCACTCAGGTGGAAATGCTTGTTTCAACAGAGGCGCTATACGAGCACACTCTATTTTTAAACAAGATAATTATGAAAATTATAGTTCTTACATGTGAAAATAATGAGTGTTTTGATCAAACATTCTTTGATTATTATGATTTAAGAATGATTGTCGCAATAACAATAGGTACATAATTAATTTTTCATGCTGGACCGGCAGTGAGAGAAAATCATGAAATTTTATGTAAAGAATTGATATCTTATTACTAAATAGTCCCTGAATAATATTTCTTAGGCCAACTGAACAAAAAATTTCTTTGTTCTGTGCTTAAACTCGACTAATGCCAAATAGTCCGGAAGGTAGCGTTACATTTTTGGCAGTGATTTTAAGCCGATTGCTTGCTATCTTTTACTATAGATCTCTAATGAATTATAACTGAACCAAGCGTCAGCTGGCTGGCGGTGAGTGTGGAATTGGGAGGTTACGGAAGTGGTAAAAAAAATAACTAATATTACGCTGGCTGAAACTTTTTTCATAAATAATTGACATTATACAGAGCTGAAAAAAAAATCGCTGCATCGTGGAGCGGGGACTATGCGTCAGCTGCTCGCATGAACTTGTTCGCATGAAATATCTTGGGATGCGTGCGGTTATTAAATGACATAGGTCCTGCCTCGAACGGTGCCGTATCGGCGAAAAAACTATTTTTTCTTTTCTTTTTTTTTTACTGCGTCACCGGGTTTGGGTACGGCGCGATCCTAAGGCGTCCTCAAGCCGAAAATTACTGAGTGCGTCTAGAGGTATTCCACGCAGATGGCATCTCCCCACGGGGGGAATCTCCACTCCGTCTGGAGCCACTCGAACCTGAGGGGGTCGGCACAAGTAGAGGGCGTCTCTGAGACTCGGATTTCGGCTCTAGTTAGCCGTTGTCATGGGAGGCGGGGAATAACGCCCAGGTACGTACCTGTACCTGGTATAGCGTGTCGTGTGTAGACTTCACACTCTTATCCTACGGGTGCGGTGTCTGCCTAATGCTAGGCTAGTGCGCACGATACGATTACGATTGGAGGATAGGAGGGCGGACGTGTGATAACTAGAGACACTGACTAAACTAACTAAAGCCGTGTGATAACTAGAGACACTGACTAAACTAACTAAAGCCGCGCATCAGCCGAACTAAAGGTTCGGCTGATGCGCGGCTTTATCGAAGTATCGTCTCGTAGCGTCCTTAATATACTTTGCGATGGAGTCTAACTTAATAAAATCGATATTGCGCACTTACCACGGCTTACCCAAGGCACCGCGCAACACACGGTATTGCAACGTTTGTAAAGGTTCAAGACGCTACGGAGGTACGTGGGTGAAGCAATCACTCACGGCTCAGGTCATGATAGGATGCAAGTTTTGTAAATTGTCTGATCGGCAAATAGTTTAACACTATATATTGCATTTTACGGGTGGTGTTTTAGGCCTTATAAAAAAAATATACTTCAGTTTGATGATTATAGATGAGTTTATATAAGTTTTTGATAGTAAATGTACTTTATTCAATATCAAAACACGAGGTAAACCTGCGTCATTATTAGGTAAAACTCATAGAGGACAGTTTTTTTTTAATAATGAGAGGAAGAATCAATATTATGAAATATTATGTTACAACAAAAAAATAATTCTGATAACGTAGCAATCAATTTAAGCTACTGTATTTCATCTAATTCATAGATTTAGGCGTTTGAAGTCGTGCATTTTATCACTTTTTCCGTAAATAAGATAAGGTATAACAATCAGTACAAATAAAAAAAAAATTTTGCATATATTCTATATTAACTTACAATAAGAAAGGTAAAACTATTTTCTACTAGTATGGAAAATAGTCAAAAACATTTCGAATAGGGTAAAATAGGCGCTCAAAAATACGATTTCCTGCAAAAAAATGTAAAATGACTCTTATGGATACAAGCAAGGCCAGAATCTATCTCGAAATATGTATTTAAAAGGAAACAGCCTAATAGCAATGCTCCAAAATTTTAAATCTTACTCACCGTTACTTGAGCAGATGGCGGTCGGTTCAGTTATTAGTCATATACGAGTATGTAAGGTCAACTATCGATATTAATATCAGCCGGCATAATATGACTTGCATTTGTAACCGGACTAATAGGGATGATGGCGGGAGACAGTAAACTAAATTCTATTTAGTCCATCAGTTAGATTATTTAAAAATAATCAGCAGTCATATTTTTTCATTTGTCAATCTACCAAAAAATTACAAAGATAAAGCGCGTCAAACTTTGGGGGCTCGTGGCGACACTTCTAAGCATAAATTGTACCAAGACGAGACGTCAGGCAACA